TACTGAGCCTTTAGTCGTTTATAAAAAAACGCGCGACGGACGAAGAAAGTGTCGGTAATTAGAATACATCGCGTAACACAGATATAATACATATTTTAACATTTTTAGGCGTACGGGAAAAACAATAAAAAACAAATGCGGGAATTTGGCGAATATTTGAAACAAACGATTTTTTATTCAGCTAAGTATTTTAAAACAGACAATTAAGAAGAATAGATCGAAGGTCCATCGGTCGCTCAAATCGCGACCGTATTATTATTATTATGTCATAGTAGAATTATTGTTGTTATTATTGCAATTTATATGACGACGTTTTCGCCGAGGTAAACGCACCGGGCGTCACGGTGGAAGAGATGCTGACAATGTCCAACGGTATTCAATTATGCGCGAGTCGAATGTATACGTGACAATGGCTGCGTTCAGGAGAGGAACACCTTTTTTCTAAAAAATTAGCACTAAAAATATTAATTGGTGTTAATATAGAAAATATTACTGGTATTAAAATATATTAATATCAACATGGTGTGAATGTTTAACCGATGGTGTTTATACCAACACCATCACGATGTGGATTTAAAACTCATGGTATTAAATTATGTTGGTGTTAATATTAATGTCAACAGTAACAATTATATGAATGCTCCACATTGATATTTTTTAGAGTAAAGCAGCTTCGAAACTGTTATAAAATTCTTCAATATGGTAGATCTTGCTCTTAGCTTCTCTTACTGGATCTAAATGTATAAGTCAATCGTATTAAAGAATTTTACAACAGTTGCAAAGCTGCTTTCTCTGCTGAACGCAGCCATTCTCAAAAGCTTCGTCAAAGAGGCAGATAGATGAAGAGGAATCCTGTACTTTATTTGCGAGCGACGTCGCGAGCAACGGAGAGCGTCTTCTTCCGCGCCCGTCCGGCAGACGGAGTCGCGCACGAAACGCGTAGTATTTATTTATTTTTTCACGTTCTTAAGTTATATATAAGCGACACGTAGCGAAGCAAGAGTATTAGCGCGCGTACCTAGCCGAGGAAGCGGTGTCTCCGGGCATAACGAGGTAGGACGCGCGTCCTCAAAGCCAACGTTCAATTGGCTGATTGTCTAAGTGTACAATGTACAAAACAATCCTGGGAGAAAGTCAGTCTGTGCTGGGACAACTAATCATCGAAGAAGCCAAGACAAACAGAAAAGAATGGCACACAATGAGTCGATCTCGCGAGATGCCAATGAATAGGAAAAATTTTCAAGTAACTCAGCTGGTAGAAATGTTAAATTAATTTCAGTTTTTGTCGATCAGTTTTGTCGACGAAGTTTCGATTTTAATCCAACTTGCATGCGAACAAACGTCAAATTGGCAAGAATAAATGGAGTTTACAATGTTCTAATTTTCTATTTCTAGAAAATGGAAAAGATTGCGAAAAAACGAAAATTAATATCAATTTTATTCAACTTCATTAGTGAAATCGGCTTTCAAGGTTTAAAAGTCTGAAATTTCGAATCTCCTGATTTTCTCCCGATTACGAAGATTCCAGAGGACGCGCTCCAAGAAAATCCCGTCGTGCCTTGCGACATCTTGTTTCCATTCTGAGAGAATTACGAACCATTCCAAAATCAGTATTGAAATCATTCCGTCACTGCGATCGTCAGGTACGGTCTTCGAGAACTCGGACACTTCGAGGCGAGGCTCAAATTTGTATAATTGCTCCGTCATACATTCCACTTATTTTACATTTGCATCTATTTTGCATTCATTTCTTGCACATCGCGAAGAAAAAGGCTGCGTCAACAAATTCGTAATTTTTTTATGTTAACAGTTTTTATGTTAAAAGAGAGGAAGATCGAGAGGCGCATATTTACATTACAATTAATATGTGTCTAGATAGTCTTGCATCTATTTTGTATTATTTTTTTGCTGTCCGATTTTGTTGTGGCTTTTATATCATTTGTTTAAGATATAATATTTGCAAGTTTGATTCATTCACTCCGAAGTGTTGCCCCTGAAGCCGGCCTGAATCCCGAGCACGCGCGTTTTTTGGCGCATCAGAAAATCAGCGTTTTTATTTATGCAACGTAAAAGCATCGTCCGAACAACGCGCAGCGCAATTATGTGCAGCAGCATCGACAGGTGGAGTCCTTTAACGTCACAGTTTTCAGGAAAAATTGAGCGCCCTTCGCGCAGAAAAGTACTTGCCTTACTTTCATATATTTCTCGCAGAAATATTTTTCTCACAATTTCATTCCAGAATATCTCGCGTCTCGACAGATGTATTTGTATAGATGAATATTGTGTTCAGAGTCGCTGTAAAATAAAAAATCTCCGGGAGGATGGAATATCCCTTACAGAAATCTAATTTAATGTTGAAAGAAAATGATTAATTACCTTCCATACAGCACAAATCTTCAAGGAACGTTCTAAAGACATCCAGAAGATGTTCCTATGCCTTAAAGATATTTCCAGGATGCCTCTTTGACTGTCGATACTTATTTTGAGTATTAAACACTAAAAAATATGAGTGTGAATTTAACTCCATGCGGTGTCCATACAATTCTCATCCTGTTAATGCTGATATAAACATCAATGTGTATTTAACAATGAGTTTTAAATCCACATTATAATACTGTTGATACAAACACCAATGTGGGGTAGATTTAACCCTACAGGTTTTTAATGCATACTATGATGGTGTTGATATAAAAACACCAGGGGTTAATATTAATATGGTGAGAATTATATGGACATCATCTGATGTTAAGTCCACATCCATATTTTCCATAATGAAAACACGAAACTACAGCGCTTCAAATTAATTCAATTAATTCCAATTAAATAATCACTACCTTCCAGTAAATTTCTGTAAGGGACACGCATATGCGAACAATTCTCGCGGAACGGAAAAGTCGACCGACGAAAAATAGGTTCGCGAGCTCGTTTGCGAGCGTTAATCCGTCACTTCCCGTTTCGCACCTGTCGACGCGAGTTGCAAGCTGCGATTTGATCTTTCGTCGATGCGCGCGGGAGAACACCTGTACATGCGTGCGTGCACGACTGCGGATACGTTTTTCCGTTCTTCTCATTCTTTCTTTTTTTACTTTACTTTTTTTTTTAGTTCTTTTCCCTTCCGACATGAATGAACTCGACATATGAGCAGACGACGTGTGTACACTTTTACGAGACACCGTCGACTTTCGCTGGATAGTTTTTGTTCACATTTGCAAAACGACGGTAACGACACACGCGTGGGATATTTTTATCTGCGCGGCACACGAATACGCGTACGTACAAATACACGCAGGAATACAGGGAACGGGTGTAATACACGCGTCCGGAGATACGAAGAGGAAAAATACTCGTATATATACATACATATATATATATATATACGTATACTCAGATATACACGTTATACGCGGCTAAATTTGAGAACGAAGATGAGAAAGGGCTGAGGAATCGTATCCTATCCAATTAAAGTAAAATTATATTATATATACATATGATATGTAATGTGTATACACCGCATTTCATATATGCATTTCGTGGATGCGTATGACGCGCGATATTGTATGTATATGGACAGATGTGTACAATGAGTACGATTAACGACACGGATATCCAAGTCTATTCTTGTTTTGCGTGAATAAACGGGTGAATCAAAAGCCAATATAACGATTTGTTAATTTTACCACGAAGTCTCACATTTTCCTCCCTCTTTCTCTTCCCTCTTTTGTAATCGCCCGCTCTTGTAATTGTTATTCTCATATTACATGTATTTAATTTTTATATGTTTATTATATATATATTTTTCGTTTGCTGTACATTTAAATGTATTCCATTTAATAATTAAATATTTCGTTTAATTTAGACGTGCAGTTTTTTAATTCATTAAAAAAATTATATATGTACATGATATACATATATTAATATATAATTATTAAATATCAAAAATATAAAATTAACATTAATTTTTATAATTAAAATTTTTTCTACTACATCTTATGTTACCGTCAAAATGTTTGAATTCTAATACGTTGTAAAACATACCAAGTTCGATTTACCGCTATCTCGCCAACGTCGTGAATCAGCAATTTCGATGGACTGCGGAAGCCGCTTCGTTGCCTTCGTCGACTTTGTTTCGTCCTCTATTATTCTCCAGGAAGATTCAGAATTCCATTGCGTTCTCGAACAAGTTTGCCATCGGAGATTCCCGCGATTACCTGTACGAACTTGCCGCCGTCGCGTCCACGAGCGCTAACCTCTTCGTACGCGATCACGAACTCGGCTCGCTCTCTCGGGCGAGTGCGTGAAGCGGAACGAACGCGCGAATGATAAGATACGATAACGGCCACAATGACGTTACTTCGCGCACACGTATAGCAAGTAAACTTAGGGCACTTGGTTCGCCCTTAGCGCGAAACAAAAGCATCCGTCAACCGCGGCTCGTCGCAAGTACGAAAAAACTAATCGCCAACGTAATTCGCTTGAAATCGTATCACGTGACGCGGAGCGATGCGTCACGTGACGTCGAGGGAAGTTCGAATTCCGTCCCGCGTTCGCGGGACCTCTCGAGCAGAACAAAAAATCATGGTGACATCAAAATGGCACTAAAATTCAAAATGATTATTAAAAGTCGATGATTTGGAAATGGTGTAAATTCAGCAGGGATAAGGGATTCTTTTATCATTCGAATACACGACCTGTATTTCCGTTTATAAATGTTATTATAAACAAGCGTCCGGTATTCGAAAAGTCCATAAACGTCGTCTTTTCAAATCACATGTTCGAAGTGTAGTTTCAAGCGTGGAAAACATAAATATTAAAATATATTAATATAAAATGTAACATGAGAGAAAATCTGCAGAATGACAAACATGATAATACGACAATATGATATACGATATAATGCAATATATAAAATATATTATGTTCAAACTTCAATGTATCATAAAAATATATTTTCTCTTATTCTTCTTACGCAAAAGATTGCTTCATGAATATGCTATAATTATAGGCTCGATGTTATAATTGTAGCTATCATTATCAGCTTATAATTATAAGCGATGTTAATGAAGCTCAACTTATAATTATAAGTGATGTTAGTGAAGCTTTTACTAAAACGAATTTTCAACGAAACAACGTATTTCTGCTTTCGCAAAACGATATATATTACATTCTATGTTAAGAGAGCACGTTAGAATAGTATCTTAATAAAAATTAAGAATATATTATACATATATATATCTCTTTCTCAAAGCTTTAGAATAGCTTCAGAACAGCTATAGGATAGCTTTAGAATAGCTATAGAACACGTATAGAAATTCTGAATCATTTCCGTTCACTGATGTCTCGTTGAAAACGACAACTTTGGTTGCCACACCGCGACATCGATGCCAGATATCGCGAGAATGCCATTCAGATAATCCATCTACGAAATAAAGAACATAAAATTATAATATAATATAATATAAGCTATTATAGGTATACAAAAATATCGTGAATTTTAAGAGCTTTATCAATTCGGAGACTAATCAAAATTTATATAAAATCATTATATCAACATTTGTATAAAATTGTATATAAAACGCTTATACACATCAATATATTAAATGATTAATAGAATTAGTTTAATAGTGGAGAGAATATTTTATTATTCCCAAATATATATTATTAAGATCTGCCAATGCTCGTTTTATCTTTATATTTATCTAATTGTTTTAATAAATTCAACACGAAAGTTTAACAAGATAGAGTTATTGGTCCGCACTTGAGTGGTCCGCTTACAACACAAATACAAAATGTTTTTTGCCGTGTAGTTAAGTTTTCAGGTACTTCAGCAAAATAGCTACCTTTTTATATACGCAAATAATACTTACGCTGGCGATCTCTCCGAATCCCGAAAGGAAAGTAGTAATAGGCTTCGGTGGATCCGTAGGGCTTGAAATTCTGACAGTGCCATCCTTGGAGCTCGTTATCAGACATCCGTGCGTCAGATGCACCCCTGTTATCCCTTTCGTATGTTTGGTAGAATAAGATTTCACTAACTCGAAATCATTCTTTGGATTTAGCACGTGCAACTTCGCATTACTGTCCCCCACACAAACACAATCCCGTTGCATGCTCATACACATGGGGAACGCTTTGCCTGAAATCTAAGAAGTACATCCGCGATATCGTAGTTGCGGCTCTTTACACGATGACAAAAATACGGGATGAAATTACTGTGATAGACTTCATGGTCCGTCCAGCTCTTTGATCCCAAACGGACACCGTTTTATCCTCGCTGGCGGACAAGATGTATTCCGAGTTCATGACCAGCTTAATCACAGCTCCGGTGTGCGGTCGATACTGCCTGATCGGTTTGTGTCCTGATCTCGAATCGAACATAAATATGGTCCTGCTGTACGAGCCGGTTGCAAAGAGGGCCTGCTCTGGACACGACGACATGCACAGCAGTGCACCTGACGCAGTGCTCCTGGAAATATTTATTTAATATTGATATATCAAAATGATATGCTCAAAATAATAATATATACTCAACTCGATTTGGCGAGTAAACTTTATTTAGAATTGCGTTTCCGAATCATTTGTTAACAAGCGAGATTTATAGTAATTCTTGTAGGGAAAATAACTGTCAACGAGCAAGATAAGTAATTCCTGTAGGAGAAATAATTTGAAGGGAAACAATTATTTCTTCTACAGGAATTACTTATCTTCTTTGCTTGGACTTCTTATTACGAAGCGATCAAAAGAAACAATTTTGTTGTATCGCATTCAAATAATTTGGAGAAAAATAATTATTTCTCCCACAAACGGGAATAATCTTTCTCGAACAGTCTTTTTATTGCAAAGAGACTGGAAGAAATAGTTTTGCTTACATCTCGTAAGTTTTCAGCTTGACGAGACCAGTGTTGATTAACCTCCATGACTTGACGCTCTGATCCCAGCTGCAACTGTAGACCGTGTTATCTATCGCCGTCAGATCCCAGATCCATCCGTTATGCGCGGAATTTGTGCAGACAGTGTTCCCATTTTCGGAAGAGGGTGGTTTCTCAGGTGAGGGAATTTTCCAGTAAAGCAGGGTGCGATCTCTCGCACCAGCTATACATACGGTTCCATTCTGAGAATAAAAATCATCAATACATCGTTATAAATACGTTAAGAAATAACAGAAACATTATATAAAAAATTAATACAAAGAATATAATAACACTAACACAATATTTAAGCAAATTTGCTAAAGCACATTACTTTAGTAAAATTAACATTTTTATTAAATGTATTCATTTTATTCATTTATCTTAGAATTTATACGTTTTAAAGTACATTATTTTTAAATCGATTGTTCATAAATTGTGTTATTTTAACACTAAAAAATGTTGAATATTTAACACAAAATATTTAAAAATCGCATTATGTTAAAGTACACTCAAATCAATTACAATCACATTATGTTAAAAAACACTCAGATATGTTAAAAATTCAACACAAAAAGATTAATAAAGATCTGCGATTTTTAACACAAATATAAAATATTTTTTACTATATAATTTAATATACTACCTACGTGCATCAGTAACAGAGCATCCACTGTGCTGTACTGTGCATTAGCAATTATAAGTTTCTCCGCTACGGAACCCTTCCATAGGACTGTTTGTTTCTCGATCGCAACACATGACAATTTCCAAAACAGTTTGTCGAGTCTCGCTGAAATATCATATAACTTTTTATATCAAAGAAATAAGAGAAAAACTTCCTTGTATTATAATATTAAATATAAATAAATGCATACACATACAACTTGAATTAAGAACAAATAAACAAGTACATTCTTGATTGAGAATGTTCTATTAAAGTTCTTACTTTATGCATATCGAGTTATTGAAGTAAACAGAGTTGCTCAAACTTGTTTGATTTCTTATAAATGAGGAATGTAATATATATTTTTTATAAAACATTAAAAAAATTTTTTCAAGACAAAGAAAAATAAAATGCAAAAACAAAATAAAATCTAACACGATATAAGCAACTGATATATGTACAACCTACATATGCATGTGCAAGTTCGAACAGCGCTGGAACAGAATATAGACTGTGTTTCATTTATTTACAAAATAAGTGGTCGTGCAAGGCGTAAAGTGCTATCAATTTGAGCTAACCAGGACGCAAGAGTGGGTAGCTAGTATCTGGCCATATATGATTAATTCGCGCTTTCCACAATGAATCATCCTTCAAAATCAAGTAGAACTGTTTACACACTAGGCTCAAACCATGTACTAATGTCGACGACTCTAAAAAGGAGCATATATGCAGAAATATCTGAAATGTACAATAACAAATTAAACGCATAATCGAACAGATGTTGCGGTCGGAATGAACAAAAGAGAAAGTTCACTTTACTCCATTGAAAAGCGACTTCTCTCTTACTGACGAGATAATAGCGGCGATAAAAAAAAAATGAATTTCACGCGAGCAAAAGACGAAAATCTCAGCGTTTTTTTTTTTTCGTTTTGTACAAACCTCGACCGGAAGATCAAGCAGTGACAGTTGTGCATCATCCTTGCTGTCATACGAGCAGCTTGCATTTTCGTCATCCATTTTTCCTCGAACCGTGCAAATCTGAGTATTTTCATTCAATCTGTTCGAGATTAATGGGGCGATTAAACAAAAACTGAATGCGTTCTAATCACGGATGTTTACGATGACTGATCTGTCGTGTTATCAAACATAACGATCATCTGCTATCGAGTATCTTATACAGCTAATTCTAGGAATACACAATACATCGCAGATCACTATACCAGAGAGAAACTTAAGAGAGGACATGAGAGCCTCTTTCCAATAACCATAAAATGCTGCCGCGCACTACTGTCCTCTGAAGAAGTAGATGTAAACTACACAATAATATCCATTTTTTTTATGGCGCTCTTGATGGAAATAAAAATCGCTGAAATAAATCCGGGAAAAAATATTTTATTTACAATTATATAAAGTTATATAAAAATATATATAATTTTATATAATTGTATATAAATGGACATATTTTATATATAATTATATTATTGTATATAATTATATAGAGAAAAGGCCTCTATTATGAGATACCGAGTTCATTTTGGGTAAATGCTAGAAGTCTATGGGCAGAATTTAAAAAAATAATAGGTTTTTTATTTTGAAGGGAATTTAATAAGCTTCAAGATAATGTTATATAAAATTTAATTCAAATTTAATTTTTTTTGAAAAAATTAAAGAAATGTAAAAAGTGAGCAAATCGCAAAGTCAAAAAATTGCTCCTAATATGAGATGCTCCAAGAAATCGATAAAACGTAAAGTATATCAGTATTGCAACTAAAAAACTTTATTTAATGTTTTTTAAATACAAACACAACCAGGATGCGCGAAAAAGGAGTATGCGATACATTATACCCAAAACTCGTCTTCAGGTAATTGAAATCGAGCATCGCAGAAATAGGCACTTGACGTTCATTCCGGTTGTCCTTTTTATTATTGTACAATAACATGGGAGCATGGGTTATTCCATATTAGAAATACCCTGGGTATCTCATATTGCGATTTCCATGCCTTACGGTTTTGCGATCATCAAATCTAACTTCTGTAATTAAGCAATTCAACATATCCCGTATTTTTCTATTAGTACGACCTTACTCTATCACATGAGAGAGCCGTATTAGTGTCTTAAGACATTACTTAAAACAGTCTTGAAATAAGAACGGACTATGAATACCGCCCATTGTAGTTCACATTCATTCTTCAGAGGACAGTAGTATGCGGGGGCATTTTGCTGTTATAGGAAAAAGCCCTCATGTCCTCTCTCAGATTTCTCTTTGGCTGTACATAACTAAAGTCACTAGATTTTCTAGTGACTGTATACACAGCACACGAGCGGCGCTACCTATATAGAATGTCGCGAAAAAAATGTATGTATCTTATTCGATATACATTCAATTTTTTCGAGAAAAAATTAAATTTGTTTATTCGTTTAATAAACTTAATCAACAGAGGTAAATTCTGCGTCCAACTATGAGGTGAAGGATTCTGACAACGGGAACTTCAGCAAATAAAAGAGTTAACAAAATATGTTTTATTCGAAAATAACAATTATAATACTTTGTCCAAATTACATTTATAAAACAATTAATTCCAATTTAGAGATTTAATTTGTTGTAAATAATAATTTGAATAAATTTTTGCAACAGTATGTTCTATCATAATTATATTAAAATATACTATGTTTATATTATTTATTGTTAAATAGCGACTGTTTACATGGCTTTGTAATGTAAAAGTTGTGAATACACTTTCGCTATTAAAATGTATTACGTATTTTGCTAAGTATATGTTATATACATCTACATTAAAAAATTGTAAATGCATAAATGCTTTACATAATTTTTTTTATGTGAATAATCGAAATGCAAAAGCCGTTATACCCAAAATATAAAAAAAAATTTTTTAATGAAGTATTGAAACTTCAGGATTCCTTTGCCTCTTAGTCATGAAATGTTTCAAAAATGTGCTGAAATAGTTATTAACTCTTAAAATCAAAGGGAAAACTCTAGCTGGTTTAAATCCAAAAAAAGAATTCTCAAATTCCTATTGCTTCAAGTGTAATTATATCTATTAAAGTCATATTTAATAAAAATGGTAGATGTTTTGCTTCAAAATCAGCTAAAATCCTGTCTTTAGCTGCAAAACCAGTCATTCTATTTTGATCAATTAAAATTGTGTATTTCACATACCATATTACACGGTTCGTTAATTAAAATATTTAATTTTTCTTAATTAAAAAAATCTTAATAGATTGAATAAGAAAAGGTATACAAGTTTTTTCGCTCCTGCAAAAAAAAATTTCAAGTAAAACTAATAACTTTTGCTAATAGGCTACTCAGGTGTAATTACATAAATTTGTTATTGTACATACATAGCATCTCGATTTAATACAATTTCTAGAATATTTTAAATATAATAACGTAGGAAGTATGTACATACATATATTGAACTCTCACTACTTAGATAAAGTATACCCTTTCGTTTCAAAATTGGAGCAATACACATTTTCAACCTATCTACCACTAAAGGTATAAGATATTCTCACTATCTTCATAAAAACTCTTTATTTTTCTTATTGTCCGCTTATTTTTGTTACTAATTTGTATATAAAAATAGTTCGAGCCATCATTATTGTACAGAAACCTTTTAATAATTGTCCCCAAAATAGAAGTTATATGCCTTGAAATAATCGGTATTAAAATGAACGAAATAATCGCTTCGCTTGCCCATTCGATCCAGAACAGAACAATCAATCCGACCGTTGATTTTTACAACGGGGATGTAGAAGACAATATAGTTATGTACGTAATGTAAGCATTCAGTGATCAAACATACCAGAGACAGGCAATTAATAATCTTTATATTCGATACCATGATCCAAACTCAAAAAGCATGCGAGTGAGTTCACAAATTGGGCGCAACAATGGACAACTGATAGACGAGATGTCCATATGGTAGACAAAAGTACGATTCGAAACATGACAGAAATCCATTACTGAAGAAACAACAGACTCCAATCAGAACGTGCAATAAAACTTTCCTAAATACGAACTAACTTCGCTTTGTTACTCCTTGTTATCTCATTTTTTTTGTGATCGACGTTATCAGTAACGTCAGACTACTCGTCGCTCATAGTTCAGCTTATGAGAAAATTAGAATTGCACAAGTTCTTGTTGCTTCGTACAAACGTAGTATAAATGCAATGAGCGATAGTACGAGCACAAGGGTCAGAAACAAGAAGTAATATTGCCCCTAGAACTTCAAGTTGGGCATGCTAAGGGAAGAAAACCGAAACCAACAGAATCAGGCTATGCCTCTCATCACCGATGATGAACGTTCTGTCGTAAAAAAATATCAATTGACTATAGCGACTCAGTTCGCGAACGTTCCCATGATGTATGCCCTCTTACGCAAGAACAAGTGCCAGCCGAGTCGTTGTACATACTGTGCCTATTGTGCTGGCAGGTTTTCGTTATGGGACTGTTAACAGTCTGTCTGGCATTTGTTTTTGTGTAAGAGGATATATATCATGGGACCGACGTTCGCGAACTGAGTCGCTAATATTTCATTGATGTCGAGTAAGATTACGAGAAGGTGGACAATCGCTGTACTTGACATGTTCAAAGTAATAGTCTATTCGCCAATCGTCCCTCATTATATCGTCGAGGTTTCTTTATCTATCTTTGCGTAACACAGTAAATGATTGGCGCGTGACTTTGCCGACAATTAAAAGTAATCGCTCTACCACATCGGCACTCTGAACGGAAGTAATCGATCACACCAATACTGATATTTGACAGTTTAAGTTAATTTAAAATATCACAGACATGCATATGCATACACTTTTCCGAATAATAGATGAAAATATCTATGGAACTCTACCTTTGCATAAATTTATCAAAAGCAGAGTCATAAAGATATAGCATAATTAAAGTTTGGATATACGAATTGTTCTCCTTTTTCAACACTGATTCTTAATCTGCTCAATAAAATTTATCAGATAAAGTGCTTATGCATTCATAAGAGAAAACACCATGTGATGTGAAATTAAACACTGTCTGGCACACGGTCTGTGCAGACTTAACAATGAAGTTGAGCTGTTCAAATATTAAGTACTTAATATAGATTATTAAATATTATATCAAGTATATTCAACTGATTGTGAGAAAAAGTGCACGTCATGCACTTTGAGAACGCAATGTGTGCAAAGAACTTGGTTCTGTGTTCAAAAAAATATTAAGTTTTACTGGGCACAGTTTGAGCATCAAATAAGGAATCTATCAAGGAAAAACGGTTTGAAATGCACGAGAATAGAAAGAAAAAACGCTATCGTTTTATATGTTCATCCATGTCTTGGGCGAATATTGGACTCAAATTTATACACTTGGAGAAAAAAAGACATAGTGATAGCATTTATAAAAGCGCCTCCATTGACATGGCCAACATTAGCAAATATCATACATATACGTAACATACATAATTATTCATGTTGAATGTGCCAATATTCAGCAAATGTGTAAAATTGGTCATATCGTCTGGAGATGCCTTTCTTGGCAACTATACAAGTAGAATTAACGTACATAATTGAACAAACTATATTTTATAGTTACTGCAACTAAAATAGTTTACTAAATTATATATATATATGTGTGTGTATTAATTTTATTTATATTATTAAATTATATATACCAATTCTAGATACATATAAAACTTGTATAGTTGCCATCTTTATTAGTTGCTCATGTTTTTCTCTGTGGGTAAAGTTAGTAAATTAATAATCGCTAAGTGTTTTTATATGTGTAGTGCCAAAATAATAGTAGGAATCATAAGTCATCTATATCCAACAATTGCAAAAAAAATATCTCTGATTTTAATACAAAAGAAAAGAAGCTAATACTCTTCCTGAGAAAAAAATTGTCTAAAAATTAGATTTTCTAATATTACCAATAACGCAAATAATTGATAAGACTAAGTACAGACTACGTTAATTTTCTGCAAGAGACGTGCAGGGTGAGAAAGACTGAAATGCTTTTGTGTAATTGACCAAAACAAACGTGGTAATTGCACCTATTAACGATCCGATTTGTGTTGCAACGCCAGTGTAGTAAAGACCCCTTCCGGGATCGGGTCGATACAACGTCGTAATGCCCATCTTTACGAATCCAATTAAACCGCACAGCATTATCCATATAAAGACTACCATCAATTCACCCATCCATGAATGTTGCAAGGGAGGATAAGGCGATTTCGCGGCCAGATATAAGACGAAGCCTGAAAGTGCCAAAATAGCCACCATAAGGATATTGAGGAGCTTCACCTCTGGTGTTTTTACAAAGAAACCTAAGGACATGGCCAATGGGCCAGCTATGGAAGCTAGCGTGACTGTCAAGTGATACGCTATACTGCCATACGGTAGACAGGAGTAAGACTGTATGCTTGGTAAAGTACCGTTACCGAGTAAACATACTACAGCCATCATGACTAATAAATAATAATAGCTAAATCTTGGCATTTTCCAGCCGGCATTAGTTTTGTAACTCGGCGGTGCCGTCGTGTCGGTCGGCAGCATTTCCATGCTTCTCGGTAGCTTGACTCTCTCCCCGCGTGCTACAGGCAAAGAGTTTAGAAGTAAGAACGAAATAAAACTCAGACATAACAAAGTCCCGATGAAGATGAAAAATATTTGAGAGGAGAATCTCGGATCCGATTCCGCAGGCATGAATTCCAGTTGGGTCGAGTTTGGCTTGGTGACGTTGACGCATACTGGATTATTACCGACGCCTTGAATCAGCGCTACTGCGCTCGGTACAAATCCGCTCAATCCTTCACCGACGAGATAAGACACTAAATAAATCTCACGATAGTTCCTCATGTACGGCATGAAAAGAACAGAACTCGTACATCCGACCAGGGCAGTCACAAACATCAGCGACAAGAGGGCAGTCGAGTGTTCTTTGCTGAACACAAATGAGGTATGATCATACAGAAAACTCAATGTTATACAGGCAACCGTTCCCGCAGTTAGCAGAGCATAAATAATATATTTGTCATATGCCCAAACAGTGTACCTGAAAGTAACATTTGTATTAGATTCGTTATACAATCGTCCCAAGGAATTGAAGGAATGTTATGAAACATAGATTTACTTTATATATAGAGTATACAGTATGGGACCTAGGTTGGCAAATTGTACTAGCATCACCATGTGTGCAGGTAGGCTCCATCCTTCTGGAGCTGTGTGTACTATGAGTGGCAACTGAACGTAGACGCCATTTACTCCAATCCAAGCACCCAGACCAAACATCAGAGCCAGGAGGTCGACAAGCAGCCTCCGGTTGCTCAATTGCTGACTCAACGTTTTGCTCATTTGTCTTCAAATGTCTGTACTCTTAAACTATCTTGTATTCACTCAATAACTTGAACGCTTCTGGTTGTTGTTTATTTGCTCACTGCGATATCATGATAACGATTATTATGAAATTGCAGCCACTCTATCAGGAGAGATATTCTAAGCTAAAAATAACAGTATAAATATATATATATATATATATATATATATATAAAACATA